ACCCGAAAACGCGGATGCACACAGACTTCCGTGACACATTGTGCCGGGACTCTGTGCTTCAGTCCAGGTCAACATCATAAGACGCCCTCTTCGCGGACCGGGTAGCAAGCACACCTCTGCGTTTTCTGGATGGGCCAGAAGCTAAGAATCAAAAGTAATCGCTTTTCATGGGACAAGCCTGAAGAGAACCACCACACAGCGGGCAAGGTTCACCGTCACAACAGTCGGCGTAATATGACGCGCGATCCGTTGTACGCCAGCGGTCACTGGTAGTAGTCGGCAGATCACAGCGCACACAAAAGCCCAAGTCAGCGTTCTCAGACCGCCATCTACATTACACGCGATCCGTTGCACACCAGCGGTCACTGGTAGTAGTGGGCCGGTCACAGAGCACACTGAACCCCGAACCAGCGTTTTCAGACCGCCATCTGGGTTGAGGTGCCGTATCCTCGACCACCAACGGCAGGTCGTCGGTTGCAGGCCTTGAGGCTTGACGCAGCAGGATTTGTCACTGAACAATCAACCGCTTATATACGGTGGTGGCCCTCCTGGGTTCCAGCCCCTGAAGCTTATATATCACCCGACTGTGTTGTTTACGAAGACCGTCGAAAGCTGTCGGCGGTGGTTTGGGAACAAGTGTAAGGGGTACACCTTTTTCCGGTAGGTTGTAATCCGACAGCCATCGTTGGTGGATTGGAAAACAAGCTAAGAAAAGGTCAATGATGAATTGTTCTTACTGCTCGGAACGGAATGATCTCGAAATACAGAGAACAGGTGTATGCAAGGGAGCCATATCGCATGATAGAAGGGGCATGTGCATTCTCCGGCACGCGTGTCGGCAGTCCGGGAGCATCTGGGTGTTTGCACCACAAACTATAAATTAGTTCACGTAGCTCGACCTCACCTTGTTCGTTCCGACACTTTCATACGGCAGCCGCGGCGGTCGCGGACCAAGTGCCTCAAAATGAGAGAGCATGCATATATCGTCATTCGACAGAACGTGTCTGTGACCAAAAATACATGGATATTAAATGATACATACGTGCTTCCTGATGGCTTCGCGGAAATGAAAGTAGCAAAGCAAAACGTCACAGCCGAACACGACTCTTGCCGCACGCATTTGCGCTGGCAACTTTTCCACTACAAAGGTCCTGACCGGACACGTTTCGCCCATCATTTCTTTTAATAATCCGAACATGGGAGCAAACTGCTCGCTCTCTACGAACGCATACATAACCGGATGCCCATGCTGTCCGTTGTCAAGAATGTTTATAGTTTATATCTGATGCTTTAAGAAACTTACCCAAGGCGGTTTGTTGCATTCGTTCCGTCTACATTTACTACATCTGGAAATCGTCGGAAGAACGCTATCTGCTGCCATCGCAAGAAACATATCTGGCTATAATGATCTTCCTCTGCCTGACACAGAAGGACGCGCCCGGTCTCCCGAAGTTTTGCCAGGACCGAAGGCATATCATCTGCTACATTAAAACCCAACCATGCGGCACCTACTCAACATAGTTGTTCGACACTTCCGGCGGTAGTTGTGTATATCCTAAGTGGTAAGAATCTTTCTGAATTCATCCACCATAAGCTGCCGCACTTCAGATGACGGCGTTCCATATCTCAGCACGGCCTTGCATGTGCCCAAATCGTCTTTGGTTAGGTGTCGATTAACTAGAAGCCGATCGTAAAACAACTTTGACAGTTGATGGTTGCTTTCCAGAAGGTCACTGCCAGTTGGTTCCTTTGCCTCCGTAGACAAAATCGCATTAGACAGCGAGTGCTTCGCGTACTTTTTTATTAAAAAATACGCTCGGCTTACTAGCTTCTTCGGATTCCACGGGTTTTCGTTGGTCTTGGAGGGCGCCTGCTGCATTTGTAGTACACCCATTCGTAACGCAAAATATCGTTTGTGCTTCGATTACTGAATA